GGGGGGTCCAGGGGGCAGGTGGGCGGTGCTGCGTGTGTGTGTGTGTCTGTGAGCGGGGCGTCCAGGGGGCAGGTGGGCGGTGCTGTGTGTGTGTATGTGTGTGTGTGTGTGTAAGTGAGCGGGGGTCCCAGGGCAGCAGACATGCTCATTGAGTTTGAACATTTAAAACAGGAGCCAGAGCCCCTTTGAGTCACTTGGGGTAGTTTGGGGTGGAGAAGGAAACTTCCAGAATGGCAAGGCCACTGCTGGGGTGTGTGGAGGGGCAGACCGAGCCCCAGGGGGGCAGAGCATGGGGCATGTTGGACAGCTGGTGGGGATCCCGTCTGTGGCGTTGGGGGCCCAGGCTCTGTCCTGGCTCTCCAGGCCGGAGCTCGGGGACGCCGGGAGCGCCCCCTCCTCAGTCTGCCCTTTGGTGCCCCTGTGACTGGCCTCTGCCCTGAGCCCCCCTGCCCAGGGGCCCCTGTGGGGCCGAGAAGGCAGGCTGGCACCTGGGTTGGGTCCCAGGCAGGTGGCGGGAGGAAGGTCCCTGGTCCTGCTCGGAGGCGGCCTGGACTCTGCCCTTCCCCAGCCGTGACCCCAGGCCCGAGTCAGGGGCCATCATGGCAGCATTTGACGTCCTGTGCTGAGGGCCACGCACCCGGAGGTGGGAGGTATTCGCTGAGGCCACCCTGGCTGGGCATGAGGGCGGGGACACGGCTCAGTGTGTGGCGGCACCTGGCCCTGCAGAGGCCCCAGCCAGCTCCAGGCTGGTGCCCGAGGAGCAGGGGTCTCTCTTGGCCTGGGCTGCGGTGACACCATGTGCAGAGTGGGGAGCCCAGCTCCTGGGGGGAGGTCCAAGCTGCAGGCTGCCGTGCAGAGCTCAGGGGTCCTGAGCTCTGGGTTGGTGTCCAGCCTCCTGGGGCCACTGCACACCGGGTTCCGTGGAAGTGGCGGGGCTCTCTCCTGCCAGCGCCTCGGACCTGTGACCTTCAGCCTGGGACAAGGAGACCTGACCTCCCTGGGCAGCTTCCAGCAGGAGGGGCAGAGCCCCCGCTGGGTGGGTACCCTCTGTGGTGGACAGGACCTGCCCAACACACCTGTGGGCAGATGTGGCCACTCAGGACCCAGGGGAGAAGTGTTGCCACCAAGACACCCAGCTCACCTCGGCCTCCAAGAACCCAGTTGCAAATGTAAGCTTTTTCTCACTGTCAGTGGGAAACCCATGTGAACGCTGGGTAGAACTGTCCAGAAAATGCCAGAACTTTTCTCCTCTGCCCGCTTGAGGGGTGGGCATGCTCACACACACACACGGCCTGGGGTACTCTGAGCCCTTCCAGGATCCTATTTGAGGAGACGTGGGGAGGGAGACCGAGTGAGGGACCCTCAGTGTGAGGGCAGGTGGCCTCTCCCTCCACTTCCTCCCCCTCCAGGCCCTGCAGGCTCCATGGCTGGGAGTTTCCCCGCAGGCGGGCCGCAGGCAGGCAGCTGCTTCCTGTGCTCCTAGGAGAGGTGGGGATTTCCAGCCCCTTCCCTCTGCTCCGTCCCCCAGAGGCCTCTCTCCACATGCAACTTTAAAAATGAACTTTGGATGATTGCCGGCTCATCACAGTTATTTGAAAGGTGCAGAAGGGCCCAGAGAGCCCCCAGCCCTGCACCTGCTCCCCGGCTCTCCAGGCCGTTCCCTTCCTCTGGGCAAGAACCGGGGAGCTGTTTGCCTAGAAACCTGCCTGCGAATATGCCAGGCCACCCGGGACCCACCCATCCACACAGGCACGTGGGGTCAGGGCTTCCACGCAGGGAGGTCCGGGCAGTTTGGCTGTAAGCACCTGCTGTGCTCACTGCATGTGGGCCCTGGTGGTGGGTGTCTTTTCTTCTTTTTTGAGACGGAGTCTTGCTCTGTCACCTAGACAAATCTTGGCTTTGCAACCTCCGCCTCCCTGGTTCAAGTAGTTATCTTGCCTCAGCCTCCGCGTCGTTGGGATTACAGGCGCCCGCCATCACGCCTGGTAATTTTTGTAGTTTTAGTAGAGACGGGGTTTCACCGTGTTGGCCAGGATGGTCTCGAGCTCCTGACCTCAGGTGATCCACTGGCCTCAGCCTCCCAAAGTGCTGGGATTACAGGCGGGTCATCCCAGGCCAGGGTGTCTGTGTCATCATGGCCATGGCCACTGCTGCTCAGAGCTAGTCTTGGGCACTCAATGGGTCACATGCTGTAGTGCCCAGACAATGCCACAGCCCCAAAGGTCCAGACTGAGGGAGCCTCTCTCCTGGCTCAGTGCTGCCTGTTGACCCGTGTGCTCCATCGACCTTTTTGCTGAGGGTTAGGCCACAGGCCAGGCCCGACTGTGCCCTGGGGTCTGAACGTGGTGGTCTTGGGCAGAAGAGGGCAGAAGGCAGAAGAAGCCAACGGGGTCCCCGGCGGGCCTGCCGCCTTCCTCCTCCCCTTCCTCTGCCCTCTTCCCCTCCCCTCCCCTCCTCCACAGTCCTTATAGCCACAAACCCGCAAGGAAAAACCCAGACTTTGGCGAGAGCGGAGGCCAGGATGTGCGTGGGGCGACGACCGGGGCCCTGGGAGGCGGCTCTGCTCCTCCTGGGCCTGGCGCTGAGTGCCGCGGGGCTCCACTGCGTCGGGGACACCTACCCCAGCGGCGACCGGTGCTGTGACGAGTGCAGGCCAGGTGAGGCCCGGCCTTGGGAGGGTGCCACACGGCGTGGGGTCGGCTCTGGGCCCCGTCTGGGATGGGCCAGCCGGGAGGCTGGTCCTGGGGAGGGGGCGGGCAAGGGGCCGGCCAAACCCGGCAGAGGACACGCCTGGCGAGTCCATGGGCGCAGGCCTGGGGCTGAGGGGGCCTCACAGCTGCCTAATGTGGTGGCCTCTGCTGCAGGCTACGGGATGGTGAGCCGCTGCAGCCGCACCCAGAACTCCGTGTGCCGCCCGTGTGAGCCCGGATACTACAACGACGCCGTCAGCGCCAAGCCGTGCAAGACCTGCACGCGCTGCAACCTCAGTGAGCTCCCGCCCGCCACAGCCCCCCCGGACGGGGCTCCCGCCCGCCACAGCCCCCCCGGACGGGGCTCCCGCCCGCCACAGCCCCCCCGGACGGGGCTCCCACCCTCCCACAGCCCCCCCGG